GAGAACAGGGGTCTCCCAACTTAGCCACTTTAAGACTTGTGGACTTCAACTCCCAGAATTCCCCAGCCAGTGCATACGCTGGCTGGGGAATTCTGGGAGTTGAAGTCCACAAGTCTTAAAGTGGCTAAGTTGGGAGACCCCTGGACTAGCGAGGTCTCTTCCAACTCTGTTATTGTTGTCCAGACTGTTCTTGTTTTAGTTGTATATTTCATATGTGGTTAAGCTGCCCAGAATCTTTGGAGTCAGCAGACAAACCAGAATAAATCACATCCCATTTGGGAGGCTTCGTGCAATAATCTGAGGTGGACCCTCCAAAACCGCACGAAAAGCAAAGCAGGATGAAACCTATCTGAGCTTCTCCGTGAATGCAGGTAACGTACATACCTGGTTAAGCACATGGAGAACACAACCAGCATGTTGAAATGATATAGGATCTCCCGCTTGAGCAGGGGGTTGGACTAGAAGACCTTCAAGGTCCCTTCTGTTATTCTGATTGCAACTCCCAAAATTCCCCAAAAGGGACATCTTAGCACATCTGGCAACCCAAGGCTGGGAACGGGGTTACATCTTACTTCAAAATTGGGCACAATTATCAAGAGCTTTACAAAGTGGCCGCTTAGCGACCATTTAAAATTGAATCTAATGGAGGCACAAGGTTGGTTGGCTTTGGCTGTAGATTGTATGAATATGGTCTTGACCTGTGACCCTTCGGACACAGCCCCAAATGGGTGACACTACCGCTAATCCTCAACTTCCAACAGTTCATTTGTCTGTTCAGAAGTACAACGGCACTGAAAAAGGCGACTGACGGTGTTTTTCACACGACCGTTGCAGCATCCTTGTGCAGCACAACGTTCGGACACTTGGCAACCGACTTGCATTTATGACAGTGGCAGTGTTCTGGAGGGTCACGTGGCCACCTTTTGTGACCTTCTGACAAGCACAGTCAACGGGGGAAGCCAGATTTTCATTTAATGACCGTGTTTCTAATTTAACAACCGCAGTGATTCCCTGAACGACTGTGGCAAGAAAGGTCATAAATTCGGGCAAAATTCACTTAAGGAATGTCTCGCTTAACAACAAAAAGTTTGGGCTCAACTGTGGTCATAAATCGAGGACTACCTATATACTCTTTTCTCTCTTCTCCATCCTTCCTCTTCCTCCTCATTCAGGAGACTGAGACGGAGCTCTAGGCAGCCAGCCTGCATTTTGGGGGGGGGAAAGGGGGGGAGAAATTGTGTGTGGCTGTCCAGTTGCCCACCCTATACCCAAATCTCCTTTGTTTGACCCAGAGTCACTCAAAAGTGAGATAGGCAGCATATAAATTAAATACAATAAATAAATACGGCTGCCCCCCCCCCCCCAATTCCTGCCTGTTCCTCTCCTTTATGCCAATCCACCAAAGCGGTCTTGCAAGTGGTCGTCATTCGGCAGCTGACCACCCCAAAAACCACAGCCCCCTTTCTCAAAGGGGCAGGGTGGAGGATACGTTTCTCTCAAGGAGCGGGAAGGACAGGGTAGAAACCATTTTGCACTATAAGCCAGCTTCCTGTCCTCCAAAATGAGTCCAGAAGTTCGGGACTTCAGTTCCCAGAATTCCAAGCCAAGCTGTCGGTCAACCTGTCTGGATTTCCAATGTACAAATAGTCCTTGACTTACAACAGTTTGTTTAGTGACCGTTCAAAGTTACAACAGCACTGGAAAAAGTAACTTAGGACCGTTTTTCACACTTACGACCATTGCAGCATCACCGGGGTCAGGTGATCAAAATTCAAGACTCATTTTTTTATGACGTTTCCAGTGTCTCCCGGGGTCACGTGATCCCCTTTTGCGACCTTCTCGCCAGCAAAGTCAACGGGGAAGCCAGATTCGCTTCAGAACGACATTACTAACTGAACGGCACTGATACCCTTAACGGCTGCGGCAAGGAAAGTCGTAACATGGGGCAATATTGACTTAACCACTGTCTCGCTTATGAACAGACATTTTGGACTCAGCTGTGCTTATAAGTCAAGGACTACCTGTCTCTCACATTTCCCCAGATCTGGGAAGGTGAGGATTGATACAGGATGCAAAAACAGCAATTCCAACCGTAGGGGAAGATCTGTAACTCAGAATTGAGCTGTTGGATCTTGGTGTTCTCCGAGCGCCGAGAACATCAAGAACCCAAGAGAAAAATGGCAATTTTCAGAACACCCTGTGTGTTTTCCGGTGCCTATTTTAAGAGTGTGACAGAAGGACAGGATATTTCCTTTGGGTAGGTTGAAGCAGCTTCTTGTCAGCAGAACAAAAGGCACCGCGTGGCTTCGGATCAGCTCTGCCTGCTTGGAAGATGGGGGGCGGGGGGCATCCAAAACCCCTGACTTCTTCCAGAAACAGCTGTCCACAGAGAGAGAGAAATCAATGAGGGGAGGGGGACAGGGTTAAACAGCATCAGTGGCCTGGCAGTGGTCGGTTAGTCTCAAAGCCAAAAGCGACGGAATCCGGCATTCGCACAAGACCACGGCTTCGTATTGCGCAACGGTTCGGCCGACTCTCACTGCTGGGGAGGGGGTTAGTGGCGAGGGCAGCCCCCTCGCGGGGAAGGAGGCGGCGGTGCGGAGGACCCTCTTTCTGGAAAGCAAAGGGGAGGAGGGGCGGTGGAGGCAGTGGGAGCGCGCAAGGTGTGCACCACACGGCAAATCCGGATTGCCAGTTCCGCCCCATGCAGAGAGAGGAGTGGGAAGCAGGCGGCAGAGGTGAAGTCGGATCGAGGAGGCGAGGAGGGTGCGATTACAACGCAAATTTGACGAGGCGGACGCGAGAGGTTCTGTAAAAGCCGTTTAATCGTTCACATCTTAAAAATCAGGGAAAGGGAAGCGAACAACTTGCTGCCACGACCCATTTCGTTAACCGGTTGTACAAAATCAAAACGGGAACAAATCAAAGGAAAAAAGAAAGATATCGATCAAACCAAGGAGCACCCAAGAATACAGCAAAGCAAAAAAAAAAAAAAAAACACCCTCCAAAGCCTGGTTTAGAGAGGCCGGCATCGTGGCGGTGGCAGGGATCAAAGCTTAGCACGCAAAACACACAGCAAGCAAAGACTGGAGCTGGCGGAGGGGGGAGCCGTTGTGTGCAAAGGTCTGCGGCATTTCGGGCCGGAGGGAAGAGTTCGGAAAAACCAGACACGGACAACACCGTCTTCGGCCCCATCACAGTTTCGCAAGGCGGGGTTGGCGTGGCAGTTCTTCGACCGGACCGGATCAAAACGTGGGGGAAGGAAAGAAGGAAGGAAGAGAAAGGAGGGGGGGAGGAAAGGAGGGACACACAAAATGTAGCATCACCAACCTTGGAAGTCAGTGCTCGGCTGATCGGCCAGGAGGCATCGCTCCGAGTCTGCCCAGGAAGAGCCTGTAAAGAAATCTACGTAGTTTAGGGGTACGCATGGATTGCAAGACACGCGCATCAACCCCAGAAATCGCACCTGTCTGGAAACAACCTGGTTGCTTGTGGGATACCACATGGGGGAAGAACAAGGCAGGGAACCTAGGGCAGTGATGGCGAACCTTTTAGAGACCGAGTGCCCAAACTGCAACCCAAAACCCACTTATGCATCGTCGGGTGCCGGGTGGGTGTGGCCCATTGGGTGGGCGTGGCTGCGGTGGTAACGGCAGACTGGGTGAGACTAAAAAGTTCAATCAATCAATTCCAACTTTGCGAGATCTTTTTTTTTCCTGCAAGAAGTTGAAATTGACTGGCTGATTGAACCTTTTTTTTTTTGTACACGGCAGCGGAGGCCTAAAGCGAAAAGGTTTTATAAAACCCAGCTGAAAGCCTAGGACTGGGGAGACGGTGCGCGTGCCCACAGAGAGGGCTCTGAGTGCCGCCTCTGGCACCCGTGCCATAGGTTCGCCACCACTGACCTAGGGTCTTCTAGAAATGACTGAACTATAGTGCTTCTCAGCCACAGCCAGGACGGGCACGCAACTTACAGCCATTCATTTAGTGACCATCTGAAGTTACAACGGCACCAAAAAAAATCTGACTTATGACTGGTTTTCACATGCCCGTTGCATCATCCCCACGGTCATGTGATCAAAATTCCAGCACTTGGTATCTGGCCTGAAATTTATGAAGGTTTCAGCATCCAGCCTATATTTGTTAATGGCTACAGCTCTGATGATGTTACAGGGTCATGTGATCGCGATTTGATTTGCAATCTTCCCAGCTGGCTTCTGACGAGCAAAATCAATGGGAGAAACCAGTTTCACTGAACGATTGCACGCTTTATATAACAACTGCAATGACCGGCTAAAAAAACTGTGGCCAAGGCTATTGTAAAATGGGGCACAGCTCACTTAACAACTGCCTTGTTTAGCTACGGAATCTTGTGACTCAGTTGGGGTTACATATCAAGGACTACCTGCCCAGGCTTGGGGAGAAGTGGTCAAAATAGCAGTGTGATACTTTCTGGACAGAGGCTGGTTCCCAATCTCCAGGGAAGGCTGATGGACATGAAGGGAGACCTACGATCAGGCTGAGTATAAACACACTGCCTTATAGGACCTTTTGCTGCTCTCACTCCTAGATCAGAGGTCCCCAGCTCTCCTGGGCCACAGTCCACTACTGGGCCTTGAGCCGTTTGGAACCGGGCTGGGGAAGTGGCAGGTGAGTGTGCACACGCATCCCCATTTGTACGAGTAGTGGGCAAACGCATTCACATAGCTGCATCTGCGTGAGCGGCGGACACGCTTGCCCGCTTCCACAAACGGAGCTGCACGCATGTATACATGCTTGCCTGCCACTTTCACAAAACCATCCCCTCTCCCCCTCCTGCTGGTCCTCAAAGTTGCAAAGTTTGGGGAACTGTGTTCTAGGTCAGCTGTGCAGATTTTGTCTGTTATTTGTCACCCACAGCGACAGAGAGAGCAGAAACAGGAACCCGTGTCCCTCCCATCTCCCTGACTCCCTTCCCTGCACCCCCACGCAAATGAGTATCCCTGGACACTTACAGTTGGAAGGGTGCAGCGCCCTCAGAATGTCTGGGCGTACTGGGCAGCGTAAGCACTTGCGTACCTCTCGTAGTACTCTGCCACATTGTAGGCGGTTCCTAGACTGTACTGAGAGTACGTTGCAGCAGCCGCAGCAGCAGCGTACCCGGGTTGGCTGTAGGCTTGGCTGTACGTCTGGTTTGCTGCAGCAGTTGCGGCGGCAGCTGCAGCTGCGGCGGCAGCTGCAGTATAGGGGTCAGCATATTGGGCCACTACAGCAGTGGGGGTAGATGTCCTCCGCCCCACGGGGCTCCTTTCTCTATAAGCAGCTGTTGGGGCAGAGGGTAGAGCTCGGTCATATGCTGCTCGTGCTCGGTCGTAGAGCTCGTATGCGTACTGATCACAATACTCCCGGTCATACCAGGCACGGGCACAGTAGGGCGAATAGGTGGCCGGTGCAGGGGGCACGCGTCCCCTGGAGAAGTAGTAGCTGGGCGTCGGGGTGGGCGGGGTGGGCACAGAGGCCCCTTTCGTGGCCCGGAGGGAACTATTGCTCTTGGAAAGGGTGACAAAAATTTTCTGATCCTCCAGCGGAGTGTCGTTGAGATGCAAGATGGCATCCATGGCTTCCCGCTCTTTGGCCATGTGGACGAAGGCGAAGTTCTTGACAATGTCGCACTCCACCACTTTGCCGAAGCGCTCGAAGAGTTGGCGGATTTGGGCGGTGGTGGCTTTGGCCGAGACGTTCCCCACGTAGATCTTGGTGGCGTTGCGGATCTTGGAGGTGGCGTATTCCACAGTCAAGTGAGTCCCGTAGAATTCGCTCTTGTGCAACGTGCTGATGGCCTGGTGGGCCTCGTCCTCCTTCTCCATGTGGACGAAGGCAAAATTCTTCAAAATGTCGCACTCGTTCACTTGGCCGTACTGCTCAAACAGCTTTCGCAGCTCTTCGGCTGTGACCACAGGAGAAAGCCCCCCAACAAAGATCTTCACCATGATGATTCTGGGGGCCCCACCTGCCAGGAATCCCTTGGAAAAAAGGAAGAGGAGAAAAAGAGTAAATCCAAAGACGTTCAGACATTACACTCATCCCTGGTCAGTTGAACAGGACTGCCTACACAAGAATAGTTTGTTTTGATCTTGGTTAGGGGTGGTTGTGTTGGACTAGTTTGCTACACTGCTCTTTCGTTTGTTCAGGTGTTGGACGAACCTAGGAAATGGGTTAATTCAGTCATCATGTATTCTGTGAACTTAGCCATTTTAATGCGAGCTGGTAGACACAATTTTGGTGTCATCCTTGATGGGCCCTGAACAGTATCCCAATTATCCCTGCACAATTATTGGCTTTTAGGAATCAAATCAATCATTTAACTCCACCTTGTCTATGAGACAATGCAGTTCCACCAACCTCAGCAGTAACGACACGTATTTTTATATGGCTCTTTCTGACCAAAAAATAAAGGTAGTCCTTGACTTATAACCATTCATTCAGCAGTTTGAAGTTATGACAGCCCCCCAAAAAGTGACTTATGACGGGTCCTCAAACTTACAAATCATTGCAGCATCTGTGCAGTTACAGGATGTGATTCAGGTGCTTGATAACGGGCATGCACTTAAAATGGTTGAAGTGTTGAGTGCCCTTGGTGGGGGTTTCCTAAATTTAGGGCTAGGTGTCCCTCTGGCAGGGACAGTTTAGTGGGCCCTGAGCTTGGGGTTGGACTAGATCAGGGCTTTTCAACCAGTGGTACGGGTACCACCTGTGGTACATTGGCACCTGGCAGGTGGTATGCGACAATCCTAGAAAAGTGGTAGCTGGGGAGGGGAATGAGCTGAACCGGTGGCAGCACCGCACAAGCCCGAGCGAGAGACGGCTGGAGCTGCAGGGCTGTCAGAGCTCAGCGGAAGCGCCAGGATCAGCGCCAGGATCCAGCTGGAGCTCAGCACTGATCCTGGTGCTTCTGCTGAGCCCAGAAGAAGCACCAATCAGCTGGAATGTTGCAGCATCTCCAGGGTCTTGAGATTTACATTCAGATGCTTGGTAACCGATTCATATTTATGACGGTCACAATGTCCCAGGGTCATGTGAAGTGACCAAAACCTGCTGCAACCACCCAGCAGACGGGGGGAATAAAAACCAAACACCCCCCACCGTGCCCCCACTGCCAATCCTCAACAGAAATGTTCACAACAATGAAAACCTCGGACAGGAGGAAGAGCGTCGCCAGGTGGGCAGGCAGGTGTCTTGCTCGGCTCTGGCTTGGGGGGCACTTTTTTCAATGCCATTGTAACTTCAAACAGTCACTAAGCGAACTGTTGTAAGTCGAGGACTACTTGTACATCACTCCCCCCCCTTTGTTTGGTCATCAAGTTTTTGACACCTTGCTAGGCAACTGGTGGTACTCGGATGTTGCCATATCCTAAAAGTGGTACAATGGGTGAAAAGGTTGAAAAGCCCTGGATTTAGATGACCTTGGAGTTTCCTTTTCATGCATCCATTCTAGCTCTCTATTGTAGAAGTTATCATCACCAGGCTCGTTCACTGAGAATCAACTTGGGCAACCTTTGGACCTCCAGATGTTGTTCAGCTATAACTCCCAGAATTCCTCATTGACTGGGACTTTTCTGGGGGGTTACAAATGTTTTCAGTTTTCAACTGAGGACCATCTGTTCCTTCCAGATGTGCAGAATTCCAACTCATCAGCCCAGCATGTGTCCCGCATGAGAGGAATCGCCTCCAGCTGTGCAGTGGAATTCCTTATTGTCTGGTCCGGTCCAGCCAGCTGGACCCCTCCAGATGTTTGATCGAAGGCCTATCAACCCCAAGCAGCAGCACCTTCCCCAAAGATGGATGGAATTTGTAGTCTGCAACATCTGGAGGGCACCCACTGGCTAGCCTTGCAAGGCCAGATTGCTTGGTTGGTAGAGTTCGAGTTCCCACAG